TTTTTAATTTTCTTTTTAAGAGATTTTATTTATTTGAGAGAGAATGAGAGAGAGCACGATCAAGGGGTGGGGGTCAGAGGGGGAAGCAGACTCTACCGAGCAGGGACTCGATCCCAGAACTCTGGGATCATGACCTGAGTTGAAGGCAGATGCCAAACAGACTTAGCCACCCAGGCATCCTTATTAATTATTTAAAAGCTTGCTGAGGGGCTTTTAAAGGTGGCTCAGTTAGTTGAGTGTCTGACTCTTGGTTTTGGCTCAGGTCATGATCTCAGGGTCTTGGGATCAAACCCAGCTATGGGCTTCACACTCTGTGGGGAGTCTGCTTCTCTCCCTCTCCCTCTGCCCTTCTCCAACTCATGCTCTTGCACTCTCTCTCTCTAGAGAAAAAAATAAATAAATAAAAGCTTGCTGAATGTCAAATTCTACACTTCGTATCGTAACCAAAGTGTACTTTTGAGAACATTTATGTTGAAAGATTCTATTAAAAATAACTTTTTAGCAGTCATAATCTTATTGTACATTTAGAGTGATTCCTAAATTTAGGTTACTTTACAGTTGTTCATCTTGTCCTGTGTATTTCCATAACATGTCAAATTTAGATGCACCTGTTCAACTATTTACCAAAAGAGCTTTAAGTTAGCAATAAAGCTTGTAATGCAAAAAATCGTTTATCATTTTGGGACTTGTGCAGCTGTTCACAAACTGCTTAAGCTATGTTCTTTATCTTTATCTTGTCAAAACTTCTTAATGGAAGCAAGGCTGGGAGTTTAATTTCCTGCTGTTCACTAGTACATCACCTCCCCCCTTTTTTGTTTTATGTATGTAATTTTTGTTCTTTCTCCTCTCCAATATTTGATATATAATAGATGTGTGTGTATAAATAACACATCTGCAGGATAAATCACTGCAATAAAAACACTTTACTTTTTGGCCTAGTGAAAATAGCATTGATATTATAGATTGTATGGTGGATAAGAGTTCTTCCTAGATTGGTAAGGATATTAATAATGAAATTGCCAAAGTATAATAAATAACCATATAGAATTCTGATAGTTAAGTGTAAAGATAACTAGATTTACTGACAGAAGGCATTTCCAAGAATTTGAGAAATCCTATGGTATCTCTAATGTGAATTTATGGAGTACTTGTTCATGAGTAAGATTAAAGGTTATCTGATTTCTGATCTATAGCTAACACTTATCACAGGAGGTATATAATTGAGTACCACTGTGTGTAGGGTGTTAACAGTACTTGTAGTAGGGTTTTTCTTTCTTGTTTAGAACATATATTCACTTAAGTGATGGTTTTATGTTTTAAACTACTAAGAATATGTAGCTTGTTTATGCAGTAATCTGTTTTTTTCTCAATATGACATTTGATTTTTAAATTTTTTTTTGATGATAAAAAACAATGGTTATTAAAGAAAATGTTCCAACTACAGGCAGACACAAAAAGAATCAGGGAAAAAAAATACTTATAATCCAGTCATCCAGAGTCCACCACTGGCAGCATTCCCGAGTATGGAGTCCTCTTGCATTCTCCTTCAGTGCCCCTGAAAGCTTGTCTGTGTCCTTTGAGTACAACTTCACTGGTTTTGCCTTTAATGTAGTGACTGCTTTCATTTACTCAAGCAAAGACTCATCTTAGACAACGAGAGTTATTTCTTACAGCTTTGTCTATGTGCTTTGTTTTATGATAAAAGTCAGGCAATTTCTCTAGTTTTCTGATATTCCAGTTTTTTGTACTCCTGTTCAGAGGTCTGGCCTGTATTATTAGTTTGGGATTTGTAGAGATCCAATGTTTTTTTATTGTTTTACAAGGTAGACCTATTTTTTCAATAATTAAAATGTTTTAAGTCAGTTTGTCACATTCTAAGTCAGTCTAAGAGACTACTAAAATTAGAAAATCTTGAAAAATACTTAGGTTTTTAAACCTAATTTATATTAGAATAATAGAATTTTAGAGTTGGGAAAAAACCTATAAGGGTTAAATGCTTTAAAGCTTTTTGAACCAGCTGTATTTAGGGTTATTTATTTTTATATAGCAGTTTTATAAGCAAATTTAGTGCTGAGTTAGTCTGAGTTGGTTGATAGGGTAGTCTTCCCGATATGGTGGCAAATTGAGGAATTGTTATTATTAAAAGTTGTATACCCTGGTTTAAATTAAACAAGATATGTGGGGAGATAATTAGATTTTATTTAAATGCAACTTGGTTGACTGGTCTCATATCATTTGGAGCCATTGAAAATAGAGAAATCTATTGTAGCAGTTTTATGTTTAGACATTTCCCCTCACCTATCTTAAATGCTCTTGTTCTCTTCCTTAGGATATGGTCTACCAGATGATATTGTGATAGAAAAGAGGGGCAAAGGAGATACTTTTGTGGATTGTACAGGTGTGGATATTAAAATCTCAGGAATAAAATTTATTCAGCATGATGCTGTAGAAGGAATCTTGAGTAAGTATGTGAATATTTCCTGTATTATTTTGTTTCAGGTTTTAAAAGAAAACTTTACTTTTCCTGGAAGATGCAATTTAATAAGCCACTTTTGAGTATATGGAAGGCTGATTATTTATGTACATAACATGATGACTTAGGAAGCTTACTCTAAAAAATAGTCTATTCTTGAAAATTTGTTAGTTTAATATTGGTTTCCTTGTGATCATTTTTTTTTTTTAAACATTCCAATATTGTGGTCTGTGTTCTTTGTATTTGACTTAGCCCTAGACTCAATGCAGCTCTATTCACATTGTGCTGGTATTGGTTTTCTAGAATCTGTATTCCCCTTTCTTAAATTGGGTCGCCGTTTTTTCTCCCTTCCAAGATACTCATGAAAGTTACTTTCTGATACTTTTTTGGTAATGAAAAGTGCTTTTTAACCTAATTTTGCATTTCTGAGATCAATTCATTTGTTTTTAAGAATGCTGCTTTTAGATTTTAGTCATTATTTTGTATATTATGAATTTGTAATTCCAGTAACAAAGTTTAAATGGTAGCTAGAGAAATATTTAGACCGCCTAATGTCAGCTCTAGACCATTTCTAATACTGGAAACACACATTACTTAAAGCATTTGACTGCATGTTTTCATCCTAGTAATTCACCGTGGTAAGACCACATTGGAAAACTGTGTGCTGCAGTGTGAAACTACAGGAGTCACAGTGCGAACATCAGCAGAATTTTTAATGAAGAACTCGGATTTATATGGTGCCAAGGTAGGAAAATCTCTTATCCTTTGGGGAAGTAGCTTAGGTTTAAGTTCTAAATACATAAACAAAATGTCGGACCCACATGTAAATGCAGACTCCTGTTCTCTTTCTTCAAAGCAGGTCAGACACTTTTATGTACTAAGTCAGGCAGATTTCAGTTGTATAAGGAAGAAAAATAAGAAATCTCAGTTTCTCTGTGGTAACTTTGAGAAATTTAGACCCTTCACATTTCTTAACTTTATAAATGATTTTGTAGCAATTGAAGCTCAGTTGCTTTTGTTTTTTAATTAGACTTTTTGTTTTGAGAGAATTGCTGAGATAATATGTTGTTGTAAGAAGTAATACAGAGATCCTTTATGTGTATTCTGTACTAGTTTCCCCCAGTTGTAACATCTTGCAAAACTGTAGTACAATAGCACAACAGGATAGCATCCACTCAGTCAAGTTGAGTATTTCCATCATTCCAAGGATCCTGCATATTGCCTTTTGACAGCGACATCCACTTGCTTCTCCTACAGACTTTTTAAATCACTCTCTTCTCCATTTCTGTTATTTCACTATTTCAAGAATGTTATGTAAATGTAAATCATCATAACCTTCTGGGATTGGGTTTTTTCACTCAGCACAGTTTTCTGGAGCTTCATCCAAGTTGTAGGTACCAAGTGTTTGTTCTTTTTTATTGCTGAATAGTATTCCAGCATATGGTTGTTGCACAGTTTGTTTAACTGTTCACCTGTTGAAGGATATCTGGATTGTTTCCAGGTTTTGGCTATTGTAAATCAAGCTGCAGCAAACATTTGTGCACAGGTTACTATGTGAACAGTTTTCACTTCTCTGGAGTAAATGCCCGGGAGTGTGGTTGTAGGTCACATGGTAGCTGCATCTACTATATACCCTTTTTAAAGACATGGTCAAACTTTTCCAGGGTAGTTCTATCATTTTACATTCCCATCAATGATGTTTGAATGATACAGTTTCTCCATATCCTCACCAGCATTTGGTATTTTTACTGTTTAATTTTAGCCATTCTGATAGGTGTATGGTTTTAATTTGCATTTACCTAGTGGTTAGTGATGTGGAACATTTTTTCATATGCTTACTTGCCATCCTTCTCTTCAGTGAAATGTCTATTTGTGACTTCTGCCCATTTTCTAATTAGATTATTCTTTTTTACTGTAGAGTTTTGAGAGTTCTTTTTATATTCTAGATACTAGTCCTCTGGTGGGTGTTTGTTTTGCAGATTTTTTTTTTTTTGAGAGAGAGAGAGAACGTGCACACACGTCTGCGAGCAGGTGGGGAGGGAAGGGCAGAGAGAGAGGGAGAGAGAGAATCCCAAGTCCAGCCATGGCACCATGTCCAGCTCAGAGCCCTACCTGGGGCTTGATCCCATGACCCTGAAATCATGACCCAAGTCAAAATCAAGAGTTGGATGCTCAACCGACTGAGCCACCTAGGTGCCCCTGCAGATTTTTATGCTAGTCTATAGCTTATCTTTTCATTTTCTTCACACAGGCTTTTATAGAGCAAAGCTTTAAATTTTGATGAAGTATAATTTATCGATTTTTCCTTGTATGGGCAGTGCTTTTGGTGTTAAGTGTAAGAACTCTTTGCCCAGCCTTAGATCGCAAAGATTTTCTCTCTTTTTTTTTTTCCTAAAAATTTTATAGTTTACCTTTTACACTTAAGATCATGATCTATTTTTGAGTAAATTTTGGTGTTAATGTGAGTTTTAGGTTAAGGTTTATTTATTTGCCCATAGATGTTCAATTGTAACCACATCATCTCTTGAAAAGCCTGTCCTTCTTCCAAGAGATTGGTTTTGCACCTTTGTCAAAAATCATCTGGGAGGGGCGCCTGGGTGGCTCAGTTGGTTAAGCGACTGCCTTCGGCTCAGGTCATGATCCTGGAGTCCCGGGATCGAGTCCCGCATCGGGCTCCCTGCTGTCAGCAGGGAGTCTGCTTCTCCCTCTGACCCTCCCCCCTCTCATGTACTCGCTCTCTCTCATTCTCTCTCTCTCAAATAAATAAATAAAATCTTTAAAAAAAAAAAATCATCTGGGAAATTTGTGTGGGCCCATTTCTGGGTTCTCTGTTCCGTTCCACTGATCTGTGTAGCTATCCCTCCACCATAACCTGCTACTGTAAAGTCTTAAAATCTGATAGAGTGATTCCTCCCACTTTATTGGTCTTTTCTAAAATTGCTTCAGCTATTCTAGTTCCTTTGCCTTTCAATGAAAGTTTTAGAAAAATATTGTCTCTATCTACAAAAAATCTAGCTGAGATTGTGATATGAATTCTAGTAAACCTGTATATCAATTTGGGGAGGATGGACATCTTTTTTATGTTGAATCTTCCAATGTTGTGAACACTGTGTCTCTCCCATTTATTTACGTCTTTGATTTCTTTCGTCAGCATTTCTATAATTTTCAGTATACAAGTCTTGTATGTATTTTGTTAGATTTGTATGTAAATATTTCATTTTTTTAGGTGATTGTAAGTCATCTCATGTTCTTAATTTCAATTCCATGTGTTCATTTCTACTATATAGAAACACAATTGACTTTTGTCTTATCTCATGTGACCTTCCTGACTTTTCTTAGTTCTAGGAGTGTTGTTGTAGATTCCTTGGGATTTTCTATGTAGACAATCATGTCATCTGCAAATAGGGACAGTTTTATTTCTTCCTTTCTGATCTGTATGGTTTTGTTTCCTTTTTTTGCTTTACGGCACTGACTAGAACTTCTAGCACTATGTTGAATAAGAGTGGTCAGAGTGGACATCTTTACCTTGTTCTCGATATTAGGGAGAATGTATCAGTATTATACCATTAAGTACAGGGTAAGTAGGCTTTTTGTAGATATTCTTTCTTTTTTTTTTTTAAGATTTTATTTATTCATTTGAGAGAGAGAGAGAGAGACAGAGCACAATCCGTGGGAAAGGCAGAGGGAGAGGGAGAAGCAGGCTCCCCGCTGAGCTGGGAGCCTGACATGGGGCTCAGTCACAGGACCCTGAGATCATGACCTGAGCCAAAGGCAGACACTTAACCGACTGAGCCACCGAGGTGCCCTGTAGATATTTTTTATCAAGTTGAAGAAGTTCTCTATTTTTGTATTGTGAGAATTTTTATAATGAATGTGTGTTGACATTTGTCAGATGTTTTTTCTTCATCATTTCATATGATTACATGATTTATCTTTTTGGACAAAAGAAATGGTGGATTACATTGTTTTTTCAAATTTTGAACCAGTTTTGCATCCCTAGAATAAACACAATTTAGTCATAGTGTATATTTTTTTATATATTGCTGTATTATATTTGCTAATATTTTGTGAGGAGTTTTTACATCTGTATTCATGAGGGATGTTGAAGTTTTCTTT